CACATACAAATGTAATTCTTTTCGGTTTACTTAAAGTTGCCACTTTTATTCCAGGAATCTCGATCCAGTTCTAGATTTTTAGTTCATTAGTTTCCTCTTTCTAAATCCATAGTTTGGATTGTTGATGATTACAGTTGTCTTCTTTATCAGTATCATCTTCATTACAAAATACTTAACACTTTTGTGAAGGAAGTAAATTATAAATACTGTCACTATTTGCAATGTTAGCAGAACTTGCACTGTCATCATGAAAACTTAGTATTCTTTTTGAAGCCATTTTCAAGGGTGACTAATATTCAAGAAAATATATCTGCACATCTGAACACAGCCAGACAAATGAGTGTTTCCCACATGTATACCAAATGAGGTACCAGGTATATCACACATGTTAATTTTTGCCTCAATTGACTTACCACATTCCTTGCATGTTGTGTTTACTTTTGGCTCAATTGACTTTATCACACCTCTCATAAGACATCGTAAGGCAAGGTTTCCAGGATGATCCAGAACATCCTTCCTCCCATTTATTTATTAGGTTGATATGTCTATTTCATTTTCTGTAAAATACTTAAACAATACATCTTCTTTTTTTCCCGTTTTTTATTTTCAAATCCTCATTTATGTTGACAATTTGTTCATATAAGGTACTTTGAGGAACTCCAATTAAAAACACCACAACAAATGACAACATATTTACCATTCCAACTATAGCTACATAAAGATGAACAGTGTATATAGTCTACACTAAGAACATTTAGAATTATCCTATATATATTGCTCGTATTCAATATACACTGGAGTAATAATGTAGCTCTGACTCTAATATTATTAATTTATCAAATAATAATGATGGAATTTACTTATATTATTTAAATATATTATTAATTAAAAGTATTATTTAAAAGTAATAACATTTAACATGAATATTCTACAATGAATAATCATTTGAAATGATATCATGAATATTGATTTAAAATTAATACAGCATTTAACATGAAAATTTTACATTATTTAAAAATTTATTAAAATATTCTGGTACATACAACATTTTCTCATTAATCATTTCAATAAAAAAAACTGTCACCAAACAGTGTGATTTAGTGCCAGTAATGAACAATTTTTGTCACAAAACACTCATTAACACCTTGGCCTTGGTTTTATGTAACCCTTTTAATCTTTGATAAGATGCTTTAACTATTAATTATCTAATTAAATAAAGAACAATAATTCCTCTCAGACATCTTTGGAATGACTGGAGTAAGTACGCGTCCATTGTAATTAGCTTATATCTGCTAATTAGAAACTCAATAAAAGTGATTACTCCTTCATTTAGAATGTCTGGGGCATTTAGCAAGATTCAGACGAAACTTTCAAAGTCAATGGGAAAATAGATAAGTATCAATATTCTAAATTTACTGCTGATTATTAATTTTGTTATTGTAATTTTTTCTTGCACTGGAGACAGGCCCCTTTAAATTAAGTGTGCAAGACACTGGTCTTATTTATCAGTGCATTTAATCAGAATACTGCTTAATGTATATCAATAAACAGAGACAGCTCCAAATATGAATGACACAACACAGCACTGATTTTCACACCGCTGCTTATTATTTAATAATTAACTTTTCTGTCTCTTGCTTCCAAAAGCTTGAGATCTTCACTAAATAATAACGGCCACATTACAGGGTTAAGTCAGCATATGCAGAATAAATAAAATTTCTCGAGATTTTTATTAGTACCTTAAGATTCATCATTTTCAGTTAGTGTTTATCTAACTATTCTATATATAACCTATTCTTTTAATCGAGAATTCATTTTAAACTGCATTTTTACTATTCAATTTTCTTTGTTTCATTCTTTCAGTTATTCACATTTTTTTGAAGGAACTCATCAAAGCATAAAAATATGTCGGATCTAAACTTGAACTTCAGCCATAATCTTAAGCCATTTTCAATAGTTCCTCCTTCAAATGCCAGAAGAGAAATAAATCATAATTGGAAACACATGTTTTTACTGCTGATGGTGAAACTTTTTAGAAAGATGAATGCATCTGAAACTACAATCACATGATGTGAATTCACACATAACCACATAAATTTAAAAATATATATATATATATATATATATATATATATATATATATAGCGCTAGGTTGAAACGGTAGCCTACAATTTTCTTTCCCCTTTGTGACAGAATCAGGGTGATTTTCCTGGGACAAAGATTAAAATGTTAACAATTTAACGTATTTATATAAATTTTAGTTTTTACTAAATCACTTTCAAAGAAATTATTGCTAATAAAAATTATGCCCTTTAAATTTTATTTGTTATGAACCGTTCAAAGATGTGGGGATTCGTATTGATTGTTTTGGGATTTTAAAATTAATAATTGATACAAATACTGGTTATTCAAGTAGAATAAGTTCATGTAAAATAGGAGGTAGATGGTTTAAAAAATTATTTAATTTTTGAAATGGCTCTAATTAGTTTTTCTGTAAAAAAAGTTCTTTTATGAAGTTAAAAATGGTTAAACTGTAAAAGGTAATGTAAAATCAAGAAGAACATATGTTAACAGAGATTTAATTTGATGCTGCCAAATTCAATTTTTAAGTAATTCAACAACAGAAAAAATTACTTCACGTTAAAGGATTTAATAAAATATTTTAAGTCAAATAGCAACTAAATAAAATAATTCAAAAACATCAAAATTAAAATAAAACAAAAACATGAAAAAGTAAAGATTTTAAAAGAAGATACAATATTCGAAACAAAAAAGTTAAGGTTGACTTTATATCTCTTCATTGATAAAGAAAAATAAAACAGACTTTAACATCATTTTAGCTGAGGAGCACTCGGCGAAAGCTTCATGAAAATGATGTAAATAAACTAAAGGAAAAATATCCTAATTTAGAGGTAGTTTTCCAAATTAAAATTTGATTAAAAGCCATTAATTTATTTAATTATGTGGAAGAACATTTCAAAGATACTCATGTATACTACAATGGCAATACATTTATAAATAATTACATGGTAATTAATTTTATAAATGATATTAGTGAATTAGCTAAGGTCTCTTTCTACCAAAGCCAACTATTATTAATAAATTGGAATTCCAACGTATCCAAAAAAAGTAATTAACAATACAATAATAAATCAAATAAAACGAATTAAAAATATCTGCACAGATACGATAGATCTACAACGCGAAATTTTGCTCCTTATTAAAATTCTCAAAAATAATCTAATACCCAATCAATTTATTAACCTTAAAAGAGCCTTAAAAGAGCAGGCGTTAAATACTCACTCTAAATCATTTAACTGATAGGGATATGATTGTGATGTATATTTAAAATAACTTTAACTTTAACGGCGCTCATGCTATGCGATTCTGTTGTTGTGATGCACATGTTACTGTGCTAGCTGAATGTCATGTGAACTGTTTAAAATTGTAATAATAAAAGTTTTGTATTCTTGAGATATACTCATTAGTTGAGTCTTCTTTTAAAGTATAGAAGTAATTAAATTCAACAAAATACACAAGAAGTTACAATGATAATTTTTCCTAAAACCTGAGAAGGCAGTATAAGTTGGATGACTATCAGTTGAAGGATTTGTACATACTGTAATTACTAAGCTGTATATAATGTACAAAGCTAATTGCCTTCAGACTTATGCTGTTACTAAAAAAAATGGGCCTATTTCATATTCTTTAGTCTGTCAAATAGCTCTTTGACAGTGAAAATTCCTTTCTTAATTTCTTAATCGTTACTACACGACAATTAGACAGAAATTAATTAATTTACATTGACTACTATTTTCAAAAAAAATTTTAACAGACGGTTTCACTCAAATAAGAACTCCACAACATATGTCCCTCAAGAATTCCTAGTCCCTTCCACTACCATAAATTACTTTACAAAGTCTTACCGACTGATATAATTAAAAGTCTCAGCTGCCGATAAAGATTTCGGAAACACAACCCTTCCGAGTCGGACGCGGAGAAAACACTTTGCCCACTCCCCACTAGACAGAAAGTATGCTTTTTCTGGTATTTATATCTTCATGTACATTCCCTTTTCTTATTATATATTTTTTAAAAATTTTTAATTTTTAATTTGTTTTTGCAAAGATTGCATTATTCTTCTTATATTTTGCATATTTCAATTACTTTGAATTCTATTTCATAATGCCAATTTCCAAAGTTTAATTTGTACAAATAGTTTTGAAATAAAATGCATAAACACGAGGGTGTCGGGGGACAGTTACTCAAGCGATATCAAATTTACTGCAGAAATTGCTTTTCACTCAAAGTTGAATTAGCTAAAATGCTTAATCGGATTGAGTTCTTTGGTTCTCTACATTGGTTCTTCATCCCTTCTATTCACGGAAATGTTTGGCCTAGCTTGAATTGCAGGTTTGGCATCGCCTTATTGCTCGAGTAAAGGACGAAACACCTTCGTATTTATTTCTTAATTATTGTTCATTGAACAGGAGTTGGTTTGTTCCCCTTGAAAAGTCAACTAATTTCCGATCAATGGCAATGATTACTTGCATTTAATTTAATTACTCGCTTTTAATTTATTTCCTTTTACATTTGAAATTTTTGTTATTCATGATTTAATTCAAGTCTCTGTTAAACATTTTTAACAATTTACATTCAAGTTACTTTAAAACATTTTTCGAAATTGAACTTAGTATGGATTCATTCTTTTAAGATAGTTCTATTAAAATTAATCTTAGGAGATAATATAATTAATATTCTTTAGTAAATAAATTATTATTAACTTACTTTGCAGCATTTGCGCAAGTAGTAGAATAACTCTATTTCACACTAAGTGAATTTAAGACCATACAACATATATATATATATATATATATATATATATTATATATATATAAATATGGGGTGTGTAACACGCAAACTTGCGTAACATGCAAGTCGAGAGGTCTCATAGTAAAAATCGCTTTGCAAGGAAAATTTTATGTATTAAAATTTTAAACCTTTTCAAGCTCTAAATGTTCTCTAAATGTCTGTTTCCTCATTGTAGGAGGACTGCAATTTCCTGATACCGATTCCAAATATTGTATGACAGGTATCCTCTCTGGATTCTCCTTTAGTTGACGAATGACTTCTTGTATGAAATCAGTGAATATTTCAGCATGATTTTCAGCAAGTAAATTAGTTATTATCTAGATTAAAGAAATAAAAATTAAGAATTAGTTACCAAGTAAAATTTTACATTTTCATTATTAATTTAAATATAAACATGTGCTTCCTTGGGTTGCACTTGAGATATATACATTTACACAATTTAAGTTTTTTTTTACAAATTCAGAAGCACTCTAGTCCTCAAAGGAGACCTAGTAGTCTATAACTTTATTAAAAAATAAAGTTACAAACTACTAGGTCTCCAATTTTTAAGCTTTAGATATTTTGACAGATCAAGACTTATCAGGCAATGAATCATTAAATTTCACAAATTTTAGAACACAGGTTTAATTCAGTACCCATGTATGCACTACTGAAACCCATATAGATAAGACAGAGATATTTGAAAATTACACAGCTAACAGCAAACTGACAAAAGTATTACTGCATAAAAAGAAAAATAACTGATGCATCATTTGAATATGTAAGTTTTATTCCATATAATTTCTCTATGTACAGAAGTTATTGTGAAATCAGAGTGCTAAGAGTAGATGGATGCATGGTGAGAAAAATCTTTTACGTAATATATAATTCTTCTGTTCTATATGAAACTGTAGCTAATTAATCTTTCCAGCAAACAATGTTAATTTTATTCAAGAATTCCCTGTATTAAACTCAAATTTTAAGGTAATGAATACTACAGTATTAAAACTGTAATCTAAGGGACACTAAGAGATATACTGTTATATAAGAGTGCGAGAAAATCATAACATAAGAGACACTGTTCCTCAAATATTTCACACAGAAGGTACTGTTCCTCAAATATTTCAGACAGGTCATATTATATAAAATAACAACTGTGCAAAATGAGCCCTTTTCTTATCCTTTGAAAACCTGTATTAATGTTTTGAGGTCTTAAAGTAATTTCAATGAAAAAATTATTAGAGTTTTAAAATTTGATGAATGCTAGAAAGAAGTTCTTGAATAGATTTCAGACATACAATTTTAACACCTTATATGAAATTGTAAAGATATTATGTCACCCTCTGAAAAGAAATCAGTTACATAGATAAAGTATTTGATACATGGGTACAAAGATGTGGGGTGCAAAATCTCTGAGAAAATTTATTTCGTATATTCATACTTAGCAACAGGAAAGATGTGGAGATAGATTTCTGAACTGTTCTTTATAACGTTCATACTTATATATAAAAGGCAAGGCCTATTTGTAATGATGTTCCAGGCAGCATGTTTCATTAAAAAAAAAAAAAAAAGAAAAGAAAAAAGAAAAAAAAAGTAAGAAAAAATTGGAGGGAATAAGTGTGTGGTAATTTTTGCAAGTGACTTTTACACAAAAAAGCTGAAGATGTTATTGAAACTTTATTGTATTTTATACATGTTATTTTTACGAAAATTACATGTAACCAAATGTACTGAGAGAAACTACCAAGATCCTTGGAAAAGATTTCTCACCAATGACTTCGGTGAGAAAGATAACTAAAAAGACAACGTTTGATATGCCAGATGGAACAGAAATGCAAATCTTAGATCATAAGTAACTGGAAAATTAACATTTTGAGCGATGAGATTCATTTTTTGTTCATGGTGATAACAAACCTAATATTAAAACATAACACAAGGGTAAATCAGTAAACCATAAAATACCCTCAAAAACAAATGCTTGGGTTTTTCCCTGCTGCATATGTCACTGAAAGTTTAGTTCCTAATGACAAATGAATTTATCAATGTATACATAAATTTTAAAATATAGGACTGTGCTATAGTTGAAAACCTTTGCAGGGACATTTTAACATAACTTAGCTCCATATCACTATCTGAAATCTGTCTGAAGGTTCATTCAGTTTAGAAAATATAATTATTGTGCTAAATTGGCTTTGAAATTCACCAGACTTAAATCCAATTGAAAACTTGTAGCACATTCTCAAGGAACATGTTATTGAAATGGATTGTATAACAAAAGAATGAGTGTTTAACAATCCTGTAAAAGTGTGGTTCCATTATAAAGAAATAACAACTATATGCACAGAGCTGGTGGAGTCAATGCATAAATGCATTCTTTTATTCTAAAATTTAAATCTCCTAAATGCATTCTCACAGTTTATTTCTGCTACAGGAGCACAATTTTTATTAATTTGAATATCACTGTGTATGAAGGCAGGTACATAAATTATGAAAACAATTGCTTTCTCCCAATTAACTTGCTCATTAGTTTGTAGAGAATGCATGCTTAAAGTACTCTTTATTTTGTAGAAATATACTATTTATCATTATTTTTATGAGGGGGGGGGGGAATTGAACTGTCGAAAAAAGTAGCAAAAGGCCATTATTTATTAAAATCAAACTGAAAATAATAAATTCGTTTTCAGGAAAGGAGTAAAACTAGATATCCATTCAACACTCGTAGTTCAAGTTTAAAATGTTTTTATATAAAAAGCATGAATTTTTTATGCAAGTGCTATGATTTAAACTGTTTTTCTAGAGAACAAAGAATGTTTACGATATGCTATAAAGTACTGAATGGAAGTTGTGTTACATATATTGAAGGTAATTTTTTACTCTACATTAGCTCAATAACCCTTTATATCCTGTTACAGAAGCATTATCATATTCCTAAATAAAACTAAAATAAGTTGGATATATCTTTCTTTCCATGAGTTAACAAAAACTTTCAAATTAAATATGTTCAGTTTTATACATTATTTATTACTAGTGTTGTTGTTATTATTACTGCAATCTGATTTATCGCATTTACGTGCGTATTCCACCCTCTTTTCAATAATATTGTTACATTATGTATTTCAAAGGATTTAACAATTTCAATCCTATTCTTTTTATTTACACAAAAAAAGTTTGATTCTTGTGCATACAATACGCATTGTTACCATTAAATCAAAAGTTTCTAAATCATGCTGAAAAAATTAAAAAAGAAAAGTACATGAGTAAATAAGTAATGGTACTTAGTGTTATTTATATCCATTTCTAATATTTGTACTAGAAAGCAAAAATTAACAAAATTTGTAATTTGGCCTAACTTCTATTCCTCAAAAAAAGTCTACCTGCATGTAATTTTCTCATTTTCTGTCATGTGTAATGTAAACATGATTAGCATTTTTAAATATATCCTTCATGAAAACTATTCCTTTTTGGTAGATTTCTTACATATTTTCCCTTAACTAAATCATGCTGCTAACTGAGAATTTATTTAAGTTAATAAAGCTAAAACTTAGTATCTCCTATAGATACTTTTTAGAAAATTTATTAATGATTAAAACCTTATTAATATTAATAAAACAAAAAGTTCTCTGATTTTTACATCAGAGTATATATTTTCAATAAGTTCTTTGAAATAGCTGCATCAAACTGTACAGGAAGAAGCTTAAAGTGGTATTATTACATGATAAATTAATATTACATGCAAATTTTTCTATTTATTTAATACAGAAAATAATTATTCAATCTATAATTTAGTTTTTTATCTGGATTACTTGCACACAAAGTTTGCAACAAACATTTCCTCTAAGTGAAATGACAATTCCTGTTTTCTCAGGACATTTACATAATGAAAGCAACAAGCCTACTTCGAAATGTAAAAAAAAAAAAAAAGAGAGAGAGAGAGAGAGAAGAAAACAGAAAATTGAAAATTCTGAATTTAAATTGTTTTTTAAAGAAAACCTTAGGCCTGCTACACCTACTTTTCTTGCAGTACTATTTCTAATTTTATTGTCATTTCTCATTCTGTTGGCTATTTTGTAATAACGTACATAAATGTAAATATTTTAAAACATCTTACATTGCAAATTAAGATGCCAATGCCATCATAATTAAAGATCTGCATACAAATTCTGAAGGAATTTACTCAGATTACTTTCAACTGTGTGCTGGCTTCTGATTTACTGAAATGCATAAAATAACCATATACGTAACTAATAATTTAATGCATTAAACTTCTTGTATTACATATGTTTTTCAGCAAGTATGTAAAGTAAACAGAAGATAATGTTCACCATAACACATCGCCAGTGTAGTAATTTAAATTATTTTTAACTTTTACTTATGATCAAAGAGCCAGAAAGTTTTAGTCATCACCATGCGCTAAAACATCAATGTACTTGCATTAATTTAAGCATCATTAGATTACTTGAATTGACATTCTATTTAATCTTGAAAGTTAAGGTTTTAAGTGAGTTCTGGCAAGTATTAGGCATAAAATTTTATTATTATTTCATACTAATATTTGTGACAAAACGAAACTGAATTTCCCTCTTAATTGAATCTAATTCAAATGCTTTTAACCTAAACATTTTTAAACACCCTATGATTTTTACCAAGTTTCTTATTCTTCAATTATTTTAGTAAATAAAAGTGTTACATTCTGGTATTATACTTGAATCTAGATCTTTTCAAAGCGAAATGTATTATTTGTCACGTTGCTAATTTACATACCTTTCTTTGTATTTAATTAGAAAAATCACTCCGATATCTCTAAAACTTAAACCCAACATACATTTAGATAAAATTTTAAATCATAGTATGTATGCTTGCAAGGTATCCTCCTTTCTGCTCTAATGCATTATAGGCCAGTTTTAAGACGGTGAAACATTTGCTTGCCTGAAAACTAAGTTGAAAAAAATATTTCCTGTTCATAAATTTCATGAGATGTACAGAATTGCATCCCACCCGAAAGCTGTTTTCATAAAATGATCATGATGTTATGCAAAACGTTTTCTCTTTGGATCAGTTAAACAGGCTAATTAATGTATTTCAAAATAATATATTAAGTATTGTCAAAAACGTAAATTCATTTTGGAAAAATTTGCTCATGTCTTTCTAGTCTACAAATTAAACATGATTTAACATATCTCTCTGTATTAAAAAAGTAACACTTTCTATTGAAAATATTACAAGTTCAGTGTACTTTCAGTAATATTAATAATTATAATGTATGTATCTCAAAGATTAGTATAAGAATTTTAGGATTTAATAACTGATGTTGCAGTGAGCTTAGGAAAGCTAATGGAAC